GGGGGGGGGGGGGGCAAACGGGGCGAGAGAAGGCAGGAAGGGCGTGCGAGGGGCGAGAGGACGCCAAGGATCAATGCAACGGCGAGACCGGGAGGGCAGAACCTGAGAATTCCCGCAGGATACCGGGCGATACGGCGCAATACACGATCGCGGGGGGTTGCGCGCCGATCGCGGATTTAACGATGGCCACGGGGCCATCTATCTCGGACGGCGATCGAAGGTGGACGGACGCAAGGTGTGTGTGTCGCAATCGGCCGATCGATATCGTCCCGACGGCTCGTATCGCGGCTCGTTGGATCGCGAAAACTGGCAAGAGCCGGCCGCGCGCCGGCCGGGTCATTACGAGATCGATACGCGCGTATCAAGTTATATAACGTGACATTTCACGTGCGTTCCCACCGTTTGTCGCACAATGCGCCCGCGTGGAAATTATTAAACGCGACCGTGCTGCTGTTCGTCGCGATTCTCGATCGCCGCTTAGCTCGACGAATTTCGCGCCCGTCAGTGTCGCGTGCGTAATTGGCGCGTGACGCGTTGCAACAGCTGGCCGCGGGCTATAACGTCTCGCGCTAAACCGCGATTAATCGCTCGATCCATACGTGTCCTCCATGCGTCTCCGCGGCTCTCTGATTTCCGGAGATGAGGGGCTGTGTCGTTCGTTTTCGTCGCGCGAGGTCTACATGGAAAAAGCTTGCTGCCGCAGCTGTTCTGCTGAAAGTGTATTTGTTGCTGTAACTGAAACTTTTGCTGCTATATGTTGCTACTGCTTTCATAGTCAAACATATGTCTACTAGTAGTTATACTCTTAGGTATTCTCTCAAAGTGAATCGGCGAAAATGTCTTTAATTAAATCAATATAGGGAATATTTCATCGGCAATCAGAGTATTGATTGATTTCCAGTGAAAACGCTCCCACTTTACTGCCTCTTCTTGTGCCTCACTGGATTTGATCAATGTAAAGATTTCATTTTTAGAGAAAGAAATAAGAACTCGCAAACGAAGATATCAATCAAAAAATAGGAAAAAGGGCAATTCGAGTTCAAGCACAGGACTAATAGTGCTATATACTATATGGGTAAAAACCTTCCTTGTGTTAGGAAATCGTGTAATATTTATTGAACATGAATAATCAATATAAAACAATCATACGTTTCGGCTCAACCATGAATCCTCTTCAGTGATAATAAATTCAAGGTTTACGACACGAACGTATTACAATTAGTAAAAGACCTGCGCAAATTGAGATGAATGTTAGTCGCAATATTAAAGCCGACAAGACCGTTACCGAAATAATATTAAGTAATAAAGATTTCACTTGCGAGATCTATACAAATTCGTCACACGCCGAATTCAATTTGTTGCGTTTTTGGCGATAGAATCGCCGGCTTCCTTGCGATGCAAGGACACTTTGTTTTTGCAAACTGGCCTGATAATAGAAACAATCACTACTGTCACCTGTTTCTTGGAAAGAGACTGTACACTTTTAACTGAACCATCAGTAAGTGCAGCATTTCAATGAAGAATATACTGATCGCATTTTGGAGAGTATCAATATGCTAAAGCCATTCTATAATTGCGAATGCGCGGTCATAAACGTAAGAGCCAATCAATCAGAGTATTTTATTCACTGATTGCTTTATTCTGATTGGATCACTTATAACCACTTACGACCACGTTTACGCAATTATAAAATGGCCTTTATAACGAGATTCAGCTACCACACACTCGTTGCCAATATCCCCTTTTCCCGTGTATACCTCGTCGTGTTTATTATCGACGCGACGATGTCAGGAGCCGCGCGACGTCGCGAAATTCGCGCGGGGGTGGTCCCTCGTGTCGCTTTTCGCGACATGCGAGAAGCTTGACTCCGTTAGCGCTCCTTCGCGACCTTCATCGATGGAAAAAGTGGCGCGCCAGAGGAGGCAGGCAGAGAGTCTAAGTTATTCCTGTACGTGCCGCGAGAGCTGCACAGCCCACAGGTGCGCGCACCTGGATGAGTACGGTTCACAGTTCGCCGATCCCGCGTCTAATCAGCCGTGAGCCGCATGCATACACACACACGGTTCTTCCGCCGCCCTCTTCCCCGGATTTTTCGGGCCGAGCCGGTCACACACGGGGAACGAACATCGGTCGTCGCGAGCCATCCGTCCGCGAGAACGAACAGCCGTTCGTGAAATTCGCAAGATTAATTGAATTTGCGGAACCGATTCTCCGACCCGATTGCGTCAGCTTTTTCCACGGCCGTGTATCTCGAGTGTACTCTTGCCGAATGGAAATTTTACTCGATTAAGGCAACGCGTATAATTATATTATCGAGAGAAAAAATATCTAAGAAACTGTAAATATTTGTTTGATGGGTACTGATGACATATTTACTTACTACCACTTATTTTACTAATATAAAAAATTTTTCATATAAAAAATATGTATTCTCCCGAAACTTTGGGAAAATCTTAGCTTTTCATGAAATTCTGTATTCTGTTTAAATGAAGAAATTTAGATTTAAGTGAACGCGTTATTGGTACTCATCAAAGAGATATTTGTTGTTTTTTAGATATTTTCCTTCCAGTGTGCGATGTTTCTGTGCACGCACGTTGTTGTTGTGAACAAACACGAGCATTGGATCGATCGATTACACTCTCCTTAATCGCCCCGTCTGCCTAAGTACCGTGGGTACACGGATTACGCGTGTGTTCCTCGTAAACCAGATATCTATTGACATGGAAAGACTACGCTTTCCTCATGCCACGACTTTCAAGGGCAAAGCCGACCGGCTCTCGATCGGCTCGACGCCCCTGTCGTGCTCCGGAGTCAGTTTGGCGGCGATTCGGCCGCCCTGATGCGCCGATAAAGGCGTTTACGAAATATGCAACGCAGACTTTGTGCAACAGTCCAACTGTCGAGACGTCCGCTACGTCGTCAATCAGCCGGTAAGTCAATGTGGCGGATGAATAAGAAGGATCGAACGGGGTGTAATTTTAGGGTATAATTTAGGCCGCCGTGTTGTCGTACTAGCGCGTCCTGCGACGCGACAATTTTCACTGATCGCTTCCAACGATCTTTAGTACAGTATCAGCTGTCTTTGCGACACAAATAGGCCCGACTGTGTGCTTTGAATTTTATAACAATTATACGTATGAGAATCTACTTGCAGGAGTTCCTCCTCTGAAGTCTTCCTTGAAACGAGACTTCCAGGGGATGAATGCAAATCGAGTCTGCACGACATCGCAAAGTAGCATCGAGTGCCCCGTTAACTGATTTCGCTAATTGCATAAAATATGAGTTTGCCTGATCGGTGTATCGAGCGATAAGTCGTCGAGAGAGCCAGAAATAAATATCGAGCTGGAGGATTCACTTACCCTTCTCCGACTCGTCCGGCTCGTCGCTGGCGCACTCCGGCGTGCTCCGTTCCTCTTCGCTGCTGCTGAAGCTCCTTTGTTGCTGAACGCCCACCGTCGAGGCAGGTTGAGCGAGATGTCCGCCTTGTGTCTGATGCATCGAGTGCTGCTGCATCGCGGCTCGAACGGGAGCGGATTCCACCGTCGTTTGGCCGTAAGCCATCCCGAGATCGGCGCCCTGATCCTGCGTCGCACAAAATCATCCGTTAATTGTAAAAGTGAACAATCACGACATCGCGACTGGAATCGAATCGCGATCTTATCGTGATCTTCGGGACTAATCAAGAAAAATGAAGAAAAGATAGAAAATAATCTTCGCACTGAGGAAGATATGAGAGAAAAGATATACTCGAAAATTTTACTGTAATATGTAAAATTTATTTCTGTAAAATAAATAAATTTATTTTTTCAAAATAAGTTTTTATCCCAAAAAATAGATTTTCGAGTATTTTTGCTCAGAACGATCATCGTCAGCTAACTCGACGAGCAAAAAAAGATAGTGCGATTTTGCAAAGTCACAACATTTCAGAAGGTCAAAGAGTAGACTGTCTCGTAACGGGCCGGGGAACTTGATCCGTTGAATTAAATTTTGATCGCCAACGTATTACACGCCAACTGATTTCTATCGTTCCGACAAGAATCGATTCGTCGGCTTGCTCACCGGATAGGTCGGCCGTTGCCTCTGATAGTTCTGCGGATGTTGCCGCATCAAACCGTCGATTTCGCCTCGGTATAAATTGGGATCGTCGTCGGGGAAGGCTGCGGGGTGTCGCGGGGTTTGCACCGGGTAAGAACCGACCACCACGTGGGGTGTCGGTAAAGTTCTCGCGTGAGGCGAAACTGACATCTCCACCCCGCTGTCGCTGGTGGACATGCGGCGACCTGTGATCTGTAACAGCAGGACGAAATTCAGTGAGCGTCTGGCGCGAGCCCCGGATCGAGGACGCGATCCTTCTCTCCATTTATTTATGCCGCTCATGAATGAAACAAATCGTGGGAAGAAGGAGACACGAAAGACGCGCGTCCAACGCGAGACATCCGCGAATTTAGAGCGATATTGCGCGTCTGTCGTACGTGCTCGAAAGTAACTGCTTTTCATAAATAAAGTGCGCACTCCTCGCAAAGAGATATCGGACGCGAGCGAAGGAAATGTTACCTGCTCCTGCTGGGAGTACTGTCTCCTGAGCAGACAGTTTCCGCTTCTCTGTAACAACGGCAAATTCTCTTTCTCAGCTGCGCTGTGCGCCCTCTCGAGTTTCGGTCTTTTATCCTGAGTTTGGTCCGCGAGTCCCTGAGGACCACCCACCTGCATGTCCTCCTGCATTTGTCGCAGCATCGCGCTGTCCGCGGCGCCGAGCCCAGTCTTCGTCATCCATTGTCCGGTCTTCGAAAGAAGTTCCTGCTTCTTCCGGCACAGTATGCACACCCATATCACCTGCAATCAGAGAAGAGCGACGCGCTGCGTCGGCCGATCAAATACTCCCTCGACCGGCTAAGACACGCACATCGAAGAAAGGGAGCGCGCGAGAAATTTCGCGTCTATAAGAGGAAAGTATCTCGAAACTCTCATCGATCCAGGTCACCGCGCGTGTGGCCAGTGACGAGGATATTAATAGGAAATTACCTATAGGAAGTCGGCCGGTCACCGAGCTAATTGGAATGTATAAAGCGGCGTGAGATTGATTACAGAAGCGAAAGATACCGGCGATTATGACGGCGTATTTGTATCTTTCGACGTGTCTCGTTCGAGTTTGCGTCGCGATCGTTTTTGCGCGTGATCCGTGAACGGAGTTAAAAATATCACGGGCTATCTCCGCCCAAGTAGAAAAAGCGACCTCTTTCTAGCCGGTAACTGGCTAGTTTCTGGCTGGTTTAGGCGACGCTTGTATCTAGAGAGTTCGTGTGTATCACACCACTCCAGAAGCTCCGCTTCTAAAATCTCGCCGGTCTTACGGACAGAGAGAAATTCCTCTTTAATTAAATCTCCATCCGCGGACCTGGGCCATCGCCTCCGGCTGTATTCTTATGCAAATCCGCGCGGATTCGAGTAATGTTAAATTAAATCGAGGAGATCCGAAGACGAGGCGCGAGCGTAACAAAAAGAATCTGCTGGTAGGATACATTTATACGTGGACAATCAGGACAATCTTGCGTATAGCTCGTCGTCGGAAAAGAAGACTCCTTTTTATGGACGCTCCTCGTCGAAATCGACGCATCTACGGGACGGCTACGTGAGTCGCGAGAGCCGATTACGGGGAGAGAGACGGGATGAATTTTTCGGTGAATTGTGCGAAGACTACGCGAGTTCTCTCTCGGACGCGAGTGTCGCGCATCGGTTATAATGAGGTTCTCACAATTAGCGAACTGCCGCTCGAATCAAGCAGTTTGCGCCGCGTGAATAGGAACTAGTAGAATATTTCATCAAGATAGCGGGTGATGGATGGAGCGTTTAGTAGCAAACTACAAAACAATGCCTATGCAAACTCTCATCGATAACGCTCTCGCTGGCCACCGCCGTGTTTTCATTGAGCAAATCATGTCTGGAATCGACAACAGTTTTCCAAATAACGCGAGGCATTCACTCCCTGTCTGCATCCTACGAGGAGAAGTGCGTTACGGCATCAATCGCGCATTAATTCCTCGCGCAAAAATACAAGTTTCAAACGCTAATTAACATTGGGAGACTTTTTCGAACATTATTATGTACACATTTAATTCCTCCGCATCCAAAGCACATATATTTCCTCATCTCTCGTGATACCCGCGCAATATTACACTGCACGTGCACACGTCTGTTAGAAGCGCGAAAGGGCGTGAGCACAATGATTGTCGCAATCGTTTCCGACAGTGTCGTAGACGTAAGTCGGTGTCGGAAGTCAACGCACAAGAATTGGCGTAGACGTATGCTGTATTAAATATGATTAGACGACACAATTGATGCAGCATGCGTCTACGTCAATCCTTGTGCGTTGACTTCCGACACCGACTTACGCGTACGACACTGTCGGAAACGATTGCGACAATCTTTGTACTCAGGCCCATAGTCTCAGCTTTCCAGCGCCAGTCAGCTGTTCGTTCGATCGCGCGGTCTCTCGATCACGTCCTCCCTACTCCAGCGCCGCTGTACAGCAGCGTGCAGCACTCAGCGCTTCAGAGTCCACGCGGCGTCGAGAGTTTCGAAACTTGACAATAGAGGTTATGTCGGTGCTCGGTTATGTCAGTCTGTCTCGTTATGTCCGCGCTCTTCTTCGTCATGACTTTGACTGTATCAGAATTAGCCGCGTTGTCTCGAGGTGACTTCCGAGGTCTACGTCCATCTTTTTCTTGAAAGTTTCAGAGGAAGGGAGCGGCAATTCGATCACGTGCCTGGTCTTCGCTGATTGAGGAAAGGCATCCGTAAATTTCGACCAGCTATCGGTTTAGAGGGCACAGAGACGAATTCTTGTAGTCGAGTATTATACTTAAGAATATCTTAAGTATGGTGTTAAGTGTACGATCAGCTGATAAACACCGGTCAGACTTACAAGTAAATCTATCCAAAGATTACACTCCGATTTCTTTCTAATTTGGCACATTTGTAGAAATATAACAAATATTTAAGTCATATTTTTCATTTTGGTCCATTTTGAGTTTCGCGAGCAGTTTATAGTTTTTTAATGTTTTCATGCCTATCATCAACAAGTGCAACAAGAATGAATAAGAAATAAGATTGAGTACAAAATATAAGCGTTTTTGGTTTGCTGATTATAAATATGAAGTCAAATGTGTAAAATTATTTGTATAAATAATAAAATGCCTAACATATAATGTCTAATGCATAAACAAAACATGTAAAAAGTTGAAAAAAATTGTTTATATAAATAATTTCTTGGTTTGACCATTTTTGACTAATTTAGCACAGACTTGAAATATTTTGGCTGGAATCTTGCCTAAAGAAATTTAGAATGATTCATGTTTTAGCTGCCGATTTTGTTAAAATTTTAATCAAAATTGTCGGATTTCTCTCTCGGTTTAACCGAGATTCGAACCGTTTTTACTAATTTAGCACAAATTTAAAATATTTCGGTTGGAATCTCGACTAAAGAAATTTCGAATGGTTCGTGTCTCAGTTCTGCCAATTTTATTAAAATTTTAATTAAAATTGCCGGATTTTTCTTTCTTTTAGTTTGACTGAGGTTCGAACCATTTTTGACTAATTTAGCACAGATTTAAAATATTTCGGTTGGAATCTTGGTTAAAGAAATTTAGAATGATTCGTGTCTCAGCTATTCCGATTTTGTTAAAATTATTTAATTATATTTTGTATTCAATTTTATTTCTTATGCATTTTTGCTGTATTTGTTGATGATAGGTGTGAGAACATTAAAAAACTATAAACTGCCCGTAAAACTCAAAGTGGGCCAAAAGGAAAAAATATGACCTAAATATTTTTTGTACTTCTACATTTGTGCCAAATTTGAAAAAAATCGAAATGTACCTTTTGGGAGGGTTACTACCCTAGGATTACTTGTTAGTTTAAGGGTTACTACCCTAGGATTACTTGTTAGTTTAAGAGAAGGGTAGAAGTTGTGCTTACAACAATTGGATCTTCGTAAGTGATCATTATTAATCTTAGAGGAGTATTTGCCACTTCGTTGTTATATACATGCAAATAAGGCTATGGAGATCCAACTACAAGAATTCGTCTCTGTCCCCTCTAAACCCCTTTAAACCCCCTGATTGGTCGTTTATGAATGTCTTTCCTCAATTTGCGACCATCGCGCAAGGACACGAAAAGACGCGGAAAGCGCCCTCGAACACACTTCTTGAGCTCGCCGCGCACGTTCCGCTGAACGTTTTCGCAGGAATCGCCGCGGTGCTTTCAACACTCGATGTGACGGGGTGAGAAAATTTCAGAGTGAAGAACAAAAAATATATATGTATACACAACGCCGAGGAGAGTACGAAAGAGAAGACGAATGACACAGTACGTGAGTAATCGAGCTTATTATCTTACCGTCGTTTCAAATCGCGGTCGCGAGGCGGCTCCATCTCGAACATTTTTCTCGATGCATCAGGCATGATCGACGTGAGAACATTCCACGAATGCCTGTTCAAAACGAACTACTGATCGAGATACTCGCGACTACGACGATTCCACGTCGCGGACTGACAGCTAGCTCGTAGAAAGAGTCCGCTGTGAGGAAGGCTGGATGAGAATGAGGAGGAAGAAGGCAGAGAGCGAGGGACGGAGCGGCCAGGAAGAACTTGGAGAGCACTTGGTTGAGTTGCCTAGGTAGCAATATGTCAAGAGCTCAACCCCTTTCCAGCGGTCTTCCCTCGCTCTCCCCCGTAACCTCACTTCCTCTCTCTCTCTTTCTCCTTTCTCCAAAGGCGTTTTGTATGTGTGTATGCACTGTGTATTGTGCGCTATCTCGTAGCTTGAAGAAAAGAAAAAGGAAAGACACGAGGAGAGATTCTCGAGCTGTCTCGGGCCGGCTGAGTTGCTCGACGATTCGAGAGAGTCCGGCGCTACGTGTTCGGGCGTAAATGGTCATTAATTTGGCGGAGCCGGCCGCGCGCCGGCGCGATTTGCATTAATTAATTAGGGGCCAATTAATTCAGATTACTTTATCACGACGGCGTGTACGCAGCCTCGTCGTCCGGGCGACGAGGACGCCGCCGAAACAGACAATGACAACGACACAACCGGCGTCGTCGTCGTCGTCATCGTCATCGGCGTTGACGTCCCCCGATGATACCCCGAGCACCGGCGAACGATCGATACGAGAGCTCGCACAAGTCAATCCGATAAAGTCGCACTACGGACGCCGACGACGCGCGCGACACGTAATATTCGCCCCGCGTGATTCACGCGATTCCTCGACGGTGACGTCGGCTACCGCGAAAGCCGCGAGAAAATTCTGCCGCGAACACCGAGTTACTTTTGTAACCGTAACACCGGCGATTATCGATCGAAGATATCGCCCGATGATTCCCGTTGAATTATTTCATGGAATATAATTATTATAATAAACTGTCTATATGTAATATTATTGTACGGATATTTTCTCTCACACACGTATGTTTTAACGCGAAATCAATACACTGGAAGAAAAACTACATATGAGATAACTGAATTGATCACATTTTCGATCAATGCGACTCCCTACTCTCCGAATTTTTTGAGGTGGCATTTCATACGAAACGTGTGAAAAGTTTACAATATTGTCTCTCGAAGCGATAATGAAAATGCCGCCACTCGAAATCGCAGAGTAAACGTTTCGTGCGAGTTCACAATGGACTCTGACTCCGAAATTTTGAGAGCAGCATGATCATGTATCGTCAATATGTTCGCAACGACGCAACACCTTCTCTAGCCTCAAATCCCTCCCTCCTCAATCGCTCGGAGCGAAGCTAAAACTAAATCAACTGAATCCGAGAGGCCCCGTTTGA